CCGGCCCATTGAGGCCCCAGCCTTTGCTCGGCTCGGCTCGAGCCAAAGAAACCCCGAGCTTCAAATTCTCTGCTCGTTGCTCGACTCAACTTGTTGCCACCCCTATATGTTCTCAGTCTTTGTTTCTGTATCTAAAATAGAGGGGGCCCACGGTGAATTTGAAAAGAATGTGTTGGAAAATGTTTGCTGATTTTGAAGAGGCCCCATTATATGCTACTACTCTGGCCCAAACTTTTGGCCCAACTAACTGGTCCAACAAATTAGAAGAATCTGGAATTGTGAACTATATATAACTTCAAGGGTTTCTCTGCAATTATTATATAGACTTTTGACTTTAAGTTTTAAGAGATATTTTCTCTCAGTTCACGTGTCGCTGCCTTCGTCTTTTCATTTTTTACTCTCATTGAGCAGTACTCTTTTTCATTGTTCTCTGTAAATTTGGTCTCCAGTTTCTTGTGTGAATTTGTGAGATTTGAGAGTAGAATAATGAACTCTTGTGTGAGTTCATATGTATAGTGGAAGGATTGTGAATATTTCTACTGATTTTGTGATTTTTGTACTGCAACTCGTTCTTGCCCATTTTTGGGCGATTTTAGTGAATTTGAGCTTATTCCTAACGGATGCTCAACGGGGATTAGGCGTTAGAAGTGATCGCCGAACCTCGGGCCCGAAAAATCTTGTGTTCTTGTTATTTTTGGCTTATTTATTTTCTGTTCTTATTTACAAATTGAAATATAAAATCGTATTCGGGACCAACATAATGTATAAATGCCAAGGATCACCGAGTTAATAAGACACGACCCATAGATAAAGCGAGGCGCTTCCAGGATTCCAACTTGCATTTAATCCTATCCGGCCAAGGAAGTAACCAATAAAAAGGAGGACGCCTAGATAAATCATAGAATCACCACCTCTCGAACTGGACATGGAAAGTTTATGATTCGAGTCCCAATTAACTCTTGCCCGAGAGGGAACCATAAAGCTCAAAGGTACTGAGGAGAAGCTCAATAGAACAGTAAAAAATCATCACAGTAAAGAAAATGTATTTGGATATATCATACTTTTTCATTTTTTTCTTATTTTAAGTAAAAGTGTTTACTTTTTTAAAAGTAACCCTCTTAAGTTACTATCAAAAATTAATTAAATTGTTTTTAACTTAACTAATAGATAAGTTATTTATTTTAAAACTTTCTTATTTACTTTAATTTGGATCATTTTTTCCTTAAAGTTCATCCAATCTCATCTCATTGGTGGAATTTAAATAATACGCGTGATTACGGATAGATAAGCTACTCTAATTAATTTGCGCCAAACACCATATTAAGGGCCTGTCTGGGAGAGTTGGAAAGCCAATTTTAATTGAAAATCAATCCGTTGCAAGTACTAGCTAGCTACATTGTTTGACTCTTTATCTCAATGATGGGACCCACTAGGTGCAACAAACGGCTCCAGAATCAATAATTTGGATGCAAAACAGCCCACTCAGACAGGTTCCAAGTAAAACTTGTCTTCTATGTACAGTAGAATTAGCAATACTAGAACTTATACTTTTTTGAGTAATTCTATATTTCTATTTGTAATCGTTCACTACCATAGTCGTTATACGTGGCATACATGTGGCAGTTGGTGATTTGATGTATTAATGTGATAAATTTTTACTGCATCATGCATAAAATCATAAATCGACATATGTATGTCACGGTAGACAATTACGATAGTAAGCAATTGCAAAACATTATTCTATCTTTCTTTTTTTTTTTTTTTAATGTAAATCGAATAATGAGATGAGGTGAAAGCATTGATATCTCAGTCTTTTCACATTCCATTTTCCGATCGTGAAGGACCAAAACTGGCACTGAATGAATACAAGTTATCCTGACTTCTCATTGACATTGAAAAACTTGGCAGTAATGCAAAATTAAATAGCCGAAAAATAAGGTATTCATACTTAAATGGGCTTCTGATATCTGACAGCCAGAGGTGAAATACGAGCAACTGCCTCTGTATTTTGACTATTCCAATTTGACTAATTCATCATGCTTACCTGTCAATTTTCCCAACACGTAGGGTGAACTTTAAGAATCTTGCAAAATGTGTATCAAAATTTACATAATAAATTACATAATGTCACATGACACTTTATCATTTTTCAGTGTTAACACGGTCGACTTTTTCATCCAATTTTTTTCCCTCCACATCATATTATGTAATCCATTAAGTACATTTTTTATGTTCAAGGAGCAAAATTCGAAGTTTAAATTATTTCTTGTATAAATGATATTAGGATGAGAGTAATGTTATTTATCCTCATTGGGATTGCAATCTGAGTCTATGTAGCGTCAACGTAACATTAAATGATAAGTGAAATTAAATAATTGATTTAATTTCACACCTCATTTAATCAATCATCTAGAGTCACTTAAATTGAAATTGCAATTCCAGTAATACTGCATAGCATTACTCCTCAGGTGAACATTGTTTTGAAGTCTCTTGTTCTTGTTAAATTGGAATAAAATGGACTTCCTATAGTTGCTACAAGGTCAAGTGTCAATTATGGATAAGTATGGGAGTCATTTACAACAAATGGCATTGAGACTTTTTGGGCCGACCACATTAGCCCGTTTGATTTTGTTAAAAATCAAAAATTTGTTAGACTTTAGTAAAACTCGATAAAATATGTGATTTAAAATTTGATAAAACCTGTGAATCTTATGAAATGTGTCGTTCAAAATTAATTTGAGGGAAAAAAAAATTAAAAAATGGAGTCAAATAAGGGCTTAATTATCAACATGCTACTAAATTAGTACAACCCATATAAATGTCATGACAAAGAGGCAATACAAAATCGAAAGTAATTTGTCTCAGACGTATTGGATTTTAGCTTCTTTTCCTTTCGTAAAATGATAAATAATGTTCATTCATGTATCGAATATTGATAAAAGTTGATGAAATATATTATTGAAAAATTGTGAATTATATAAAATTTATGATTAAAATTAAATGTTGACTTTAATTTAAATTTTAATTCAATTTGTTAACTGGACCAAATAGGAGCCCACTATAAACTATAACGGCATGTGATTGTATAATTACTCTTACACCGTGAGAGTCTAAGGCCCTGTTCGAGAGGGATTAAAAGTCAATTAAAATTGAAAATATGACCGTTATTGGGTCCCACTCGTCTAATAAAAGTCAACAATAACGACTATATTTTCAATTTTAATCTGATTTTAATCCCTCCCACACAAGCCCTAAGTATACAGGTGTGAGAGTCTAATTCTGAGCTTGTTTGGTAGGGATTTTTTGAGGGAAGAATTGATTTTGAATAGTGATATGATGGGAAATGTGTGGTTGAAAAAGAAGAAAAAATTATTGATGTGATGGAAAATATTATTTTATTGAAGAATGTGTGGTTGAAAATGAGAATTGATTTACTGTAGAAAATCNTGATGGGAAATGTGTGGTTGAAAAAGAAGAAAAAATTATTGATGTGATGGAAAATATTATTTTATTGAAGAATGTGTGGTTGAAAATAAGAATTGATTTACTATAGAAAATGAGAATCCCTACCAAACAGACCCTATATAATCACATACAATTACATATTTTTTTGATAAAAATTTTTGACATACAATTTTTGGTGTCGCACCATTGAAAAATGAAAAAAAAATCAATCATGTTCGAATCACATCAACATTGGTATTAATTTTGTTTGAATTTTCATGTAATTGGAATTTTATTGAAAAGAGAAAGGTTACACTTCTGTCACTCGCCCTAATGAGTAATTAGGACCATAGTCAACCTCACGTCTTCTCAATAAAGACTATCAAGACTTTTTTAATAAGGACTTATCATTTCAAGGTTCTCACGTTCCGCGATTTACCGTTATCGGGGCGGGGCGGGGTACTCACTTTTTTAACTGAGAGAGTACGACTCTCATCGCTGTAAATATCTTTGGTCAGTAGGCAGAAAATTCTTTGACAGCCATGAATTCACTGTACTCTCACACCATGCTGTGTAGAGTAGTACACTGTATGTCCAGTCCTTGAGCAGACACACTCTTAAATGGCCTATCAACAAGTAGGTGAAGGTCATACAGGGTTCAGGTCTGCTTGCAAATTTATTGTCGCTAGCTTATGTTACACGTCTTGCATTCATAAAATAAAATATTTTACACGAAAACTCAAAATTTTTTTATTTTTTAATTACAAATTTTCTTTAAAATTACTGTTCAAAATATTGTTTTTGGGGAAAAAATGGCCATCAAACATGGCCTTAGTAATTTTTGATGGATGCTTTGCTTAGTTATTAATTTTGAAAGATACACACATAATCTTTTATCCATCATGGGTAGAAGTTATCTTGCACATCGTTAGTCCTACATTTTTTGACAATTAAAGGTTTGGCCGTTGCCACATCAGTGATAGACATTTTTCTATCTTACTCACCATTAATATAAATTCATTTCTATTGAAAGATATAGTAGTAAATAAATAAATCTTACGTGTCTATATCAATCAAATTTTAGATTTATTATGTATATAAAATTTAAGTTAGCGAAAATGCAAGTATGATCTGCACATCATAATTGATCTTTTACACCAGATGATCTTTTGGCCCCTGTTTGAGCACTATTTTTGGCGCAAAATACATTTTAGAATAATATTTTATTAGCGAATGTATGAAAAGTTTCAGGATTTCACATATCTATCCAATCAAGTGGATCAATTTTTGTACTTTGACTGTGTTGGTCTTGGTGTTGGTGCTGGGTTTCGTAAAGAGTAGTGTAAATTTTGGTTTGTTACACTCTGCTGCTTCTTCGATTCTTGGTTGCTATTTTTGGTGTACTCCCTTTTGTCCCAATTATTAAATTCATTTTTAATTACATAGTTAATTGAATTTACAACTTTTCAATCACATATTTCATTAATTTTTATCAAAATCTACTAAAAATATGATTTTTAACTGAACCGAATAGGTGCTAAGTATCTCTCGGTTCAATAAACTTCCCATGTTTGAGCCCTATTCTTTCTCCTTTTTTCCTATTCATTTTTCTACCGTACTCATTTTCAACCACACATTCTCCAAATAAAATAATATTACACAAAAATCTAAAAATTTTCATCACTTGTCCACTACACATTCTCTCATCAATTACTATACAAAAACTAATTCTTCCTAAACAATGGGGGCCAAACACCCATTATAAAGTAAATATTCTCGGCTAGCCAAATACGCACCAAATCCAATTACATGAATAGAATGAAGGTGAATAGCCAGTTAATATCTGCTACCAACCTAGAGCCAGTGTCTCAAGGGTCAATTGTTTGGGCCTGTTTGAGTCCAATTTTTTTTGTCCGGAATGCATTTTGAAATAGTAGATTGATGGATAATGTGTGGATACAAATGAAAGAAAAATTTTTGGGTTGTGTAAAATATAATATTTTATTTTTATCGAAGAATGTGTGGTTGAAAAGAAGAGAAAGAAAAATATATTTTGAAAAAAAAAGGGAATGAAACAATTTTGTAAGTTTCTAAAAACTCCTAAAAAATTGTATGGTGATTCAAACGAGTCCTTAACACAGCAAAATTAATGAGAATAACTAACACGCATAAAACACGTTGACTATGAAAATATTTGTGAATTCTTAAAAATTAATAATTCATTGATTCACAAAAAATATGCATGTTTTTTTTTTAAAAAAAAAAATCATTGATGCAACGAAATTAAGCGCATCAATGGACAATCCAAATATATGTTGTTTCGAAATTGGAAAATAAAGAATTTATTGATTCCTAAGTAATACCTCATAATTGACAAAGTTTGAAACAAACCTCAAATCTTGCATTTAAAGAAAAGAACAAACCTTCTCAAGTCCCTTGCTAAAGGAGAAAAAAACACTTCTCAAGTCCCTTGCTAAAAATAATGTGTATAAAAATAGTATCAAAATAAAGATATTTAAGGCCATTAAGGGCCTTGTCTACAATTGTATCAGTCCTACAGCAAAATTGCTGTCTCTCTATTGCATACTTGACCACAGTTTTTATTCAACAAATCTCATGATTTGGACACTGCCATTTATTAGGGTTCGACCATCAGTATAAATCCATTCTTATATTTCACATATAGAGTGCAACTCACATACTTGAGTGATATATACATATATATAGAGAGAGAGAGAGGGAAAGAAGTAAGAGAGAGAATCTCATTCTAAGTAGTTTAAACATGTCTGGTTCAAAGTCTTTCACCATCTTGGCTTTCTGCCTAGCAACGATCATGATCAGCATAGTTGCACCATCAGTCGAGGGTGCCCGTGCTTTCTTCGTGTTCGGGGATTCACTTGTCGATAATGGTAATAACAACTACTTGGTTACCTATGCGCGGGCCGATTCTCCTCCTTATGGCATTGACTATCCGTCCCATCGTCCCACTGGCCGTTTTTCTAACGGCTATAACATTCCTGATCTCATCAGTAAGTTTTAAAATATTATGCTCGTACATCGTTGCTTAATTACGTTATGGGTTATGCCATTTTGACATGACAATGTTTATTAATAGGCCAATATCTAGGCGCCGAGTCGACATTGCCCTACTTGAGCCCCGAGTTAAGAGGGCAAAGACTTTTGGTTGGAGCAAATTTCGCCTCCGCTGGAATCGGAATTTTAAATGACACCGGGATTCAGTTTGTAAGTACAGCCAAGTTTCTTGTACAGAATTTCATCTACATTCTATATTTGCTCAGAAAATTGAAAAAGAAAACAAAAAAGATGGCACATATTATTAAACACTATTGTCCTTTAAATCAACCCTTCTCCGTCTCTCCCTCCAAAACTTCTATGAATTTAAAATTTGGAGAGCGTGTACAAAAAAGTGTGATATTTCCTCTTTAAAAGGACTGTTTTCCAACCATATATTTTCAAATGTCTTGATATTCAAGAAGGTGACATTAATTTCTTTCCAGTATGTTTGATGCACATTAAAATAGAAAGAATGCATTTTTTTGTGATATTATATTCCGTTTGGCAAACTTTTAAATCATTTATAAGTGTGTTGGATGCATATTAAAAAGGAAAGAATGCATTTTTTTGTGATGTGACAGTAAATAAGTGGTTGAAAAAGAAGGAAAAGTTATTGATGTGATGAAAAATATTATTTTATCGAAAAATGTGTATTTGAAAATGAGTAAAAGAATGAGAATGTAGCTCAAACATGGGCCTAATTTGGTCGTGTGTTAATCCTTGAAACACCTCGTGGTCAAATTCTTAAAAATACAACATTTATTTATTATAATTTAGTCTTCAAATCGACCCATTTATTTTCATTCTCCAAATTAATTTTGGCGTGCAGGCAAACATAATAAGAATCTTCAAGCAACTAGAGTTTTTCCAAGTTTACCAGATGCGAGTTACTGCTCTCATTGGAGCAGCAGAGACACAGAGGCTTGTGAATGGGGCTCTCGTTCTTATCACGCTTGGTGGCAATGATTTTGTCAACAATTACTTTTATACCCCCGTTTCTGCTCGAAGGCTTCAATATAATCTCCAGGATTTCTCGCGTTATCTCATTTCTGAATATAAGAAGATTTTAACAGTAAGTACTTCTATTTCTTTGTTATTTTCCTGTTCTATTTCCAAGCACTACAAGAAGATTTTAGAAGTAAATTTTATTATACATTTGGTAGGAATACTTAGATAATATGGAACAATATTAAGCCCCTGTTTGTCTACCATTAATCCAAAAAATATTTTGTTACAATAAGATTTTCCACCACACATTCACCTAATAAAATATGGATAATTCTTGTTGTACATCACCTTGTAAATCAAGGTGTCCAAAATGGACACCCAGTACCCTCTCATTTGAGGGAGTGCAGATCCCACGAACCCTCCCTCCAATGAAAGAGCGTCAAGTGTCCATTATGTAGACCCTTATGTTAGTGGTGATGTACCACTAGCATTACCCATAAAATATTCTACACACAAAAAAAAAAAAGTGAGATTAGAGAAGATAGGATGTATAATTTTCTCTTATAAACTTGTTTTGATTAGCCCCTGTTTGTCTAACATTATATCAAAAAATTGTTTGCTATAGTAAGATTCTCCACCACACATTCACCCAATAAAATATTCTACACACAAACCAATAAAGTTATTTTAATTTTCAACCACACATTCTTCAAAAAATACTATTCATTACACTAATTTTCTCCCGATAATGGGAGACAAACAAGCTCTAAAGAAGAAGAAAAATATCTTGTTAAGTTCATGTTTGAGCTATATATAAATTTTACATTTTTCTACTCATTTTCAACCACACATTTTTAATAAAATAATATTTTTCATCATATTAATAATTTTTTCTTTTTTTTTAACCACACATTCTCCATCAATTTACTATTCTAAAATACATTTTTTTCAAAATGATGTTGCTCGAAACACCCTAATTATAAATTTATAGGATAGGTCTACTAGTTGACACAAAACATGCTTAGCTCACCCTAAATTTATGAAGAGAGAACAAAGACTTTGCACCTGCTTGGTCCCTATTTTTCTAAATTAAAATTTTTTTTTTAAGAAGAATTTTCAACCCCACATTTTATAGGATTCATTAATTTTATTAGCTTACATCAAAATCTATTAAAAATCTAAATTTTAGTCGAAGCAAATAGGAGTTTCATTTAGGGTGTATTTGAGCCACATTATTTTGGAAGAATGTATTTTTGAATAATAGATTGATGGAAAATTTGTAGTTGAAAAAGAAGGAAAAGTTATTGATGTAATGAAAAAATTATTTTATTGAAAAATGTGTGATTGAAAATGAGTAGAAGAATATGAATGAAAATTTTAATGTGGCTCGAAAGGGGACTTATACTTGTAATTTATGGAGTATTTTACATGTCAGGAAAATTTTAAAAATCAATCACTAAATGATTTGAAAAAAGAGGGATCAGTATTCAAAGCTAATGATGTTATTGACCTGTTGTCGCAGTAAAAATAGCGTAAAAATTGACTTGTTTGATAAACGTCCATATGATGTACTGCAGAGGCTTCACGAATTGGGAGCCCGAAGGGTCCTGGTCACAGGGACTGGACCATTAGGTTGTGCTCCAGCAGAACTGGCGCAAAGGAGCCTTAATGGCCAATGTGCCGTGGAGCCACAACGGGCATCCGCAATATTCAACCCCCTTCTCGTCCAAATGATTCGAGATCTCAATCAGGAAATTGGCTCGGACGTGTTCATTGCTGTCAACACAATGGAAATGCAAAATGACTTCTTCAACAATCCTCAAGCCCACGGTCCGGATATCTCACTCCATCCTTTGCATGTCTCGAATCTTTAAAAAGGGCCATTTCTTGAATGTTTTTAACAATCCAGTTCATTTTCTAATATAAAGCATTTTTTCATGTACCTAGCTAGTTGACTCTAAAATTATCGAGAACATTTTGAACAGGTTTTATCACCTCGAAGATAGCATGTTGCGGACAAGGGCCCTATAACGGACTAGGAACTTGCACACCTGTATCTAATTTATGCCCCAACAGGGATTTATATGCATTTTGGGATGCATTCCATCCATCAGAAAAAGCAAACAAGATTCTTGTCCAAACAATACTCAGTGGTTCTCAGAACTACATGTTTCCTATGAACCTAAGCACAATCATGGCCATGGATTCCAGGACCTAATTAAGTAATATAAGATCTTTGGTAACTATTTCTTAAGTTTGCTTCAATTTGTCTGTAATCCATGCTCCATTAACTGCACCTCAATGCTGCTGATCAGTATGTGAGATGAAAGGGTTGGGTAGTTGGGTCTAAGTGTGAAAGGTTTGTCAACTAGTTTAATACCATTCCTTGTCATGTAAGAGTGCAAGCAATTATTGTGCAGGGATGGTTCTCTTTGTTATAGTTTTATATTATCATGTAATTCTAGACATTGGTTGTCTTCATTCAAGAAATATAAGTACTGAAATAAAATATTAATAAAATATTTATGATTTTTATGTCTTCTTTACCTTTTAGATAAAGTAATTAATCATGACATCAGAGAGTAGGTAAAAGAATTAAAGCTTCATTGCCATGAATAACTAGTCATATTATGTGTAGCCCCTTAAGCAATATTTGGTTCAGCTAAAANGTAGCCCCTTAAGCAATATTTGGTTCAGCTAAAAAATTGATTAAAATTTAAATCAAAGTCGATAATTAACTTTAATTATATATTTTATAAGATTCACAACTTTTTAATTATACATTCTATCTTTTTTTTTTTATCAAACTTTACTAACAAATTAATTTTTATCTAAACAAGACTTAAGTTGCTCAGTTTTAAAACTTTTGTGAGTACATCTGCTGCTAACTGCTCGCGTAGGGACATAAGGCATACATTCTCCTAAAAAATCATATTTTATTAGAAAAAATCTCTGCCACAAACTTTAATGAGGGATTAGAAAGGTAATTTCTTAATTAATTAGCCTACTAACCAAAATGGAAGAAGATATTTCCGTGCAGACTGGTATTGATAATGGCAGTGTACAATATTAATGCTAAACGAAGCTTTTACCAGAAAATTCTATCAATCACTGCCATTAGAGGATTTAATATAGCCGAACTACGAGCATTGAGCTCTAGTGTAGATTAGAGACTATATTTTCCTACTATCTTTAAAGATGCAATTCACCAGTTACTGTTCATTTATGTAGCTTTTTTTAATCCCCATCTTATCCATATCTATCATCCACTATTTATTCACGAAGCTTTTCCACAAATGGGTAATATGAACTTTCTTGTACCCACAATTATTAACTCTTCTTATGCCTCCGAAAATAAAAGAGAAAAAAAATAGAAGCAACTATTTATTATTGGTAGTCAATTCTAAGCTTAATTGTATTCTTGTTTCTTCGAACACAGACTAAACCTATATAGAAAAATATAACTACAACTGTCTCGAAAAGATCAAATTGCTCCCATAGTCGTCCAATTTTTCAAAAAAAAAAAAAAAACTATTAGAAGATCTAAACACGAACCTGAGAAAGAGAGGCGACAACAAGCGACTCAGCAGAGTAGCGGAGAGCATCCGCGCAGCACGCAGACGGCATAGACACCATGTGTCCTCGTGTCTGCGCTGAGCGGAGACTGGTGTCCACACTGCGTGGAGGCCAGTGTCCACGCAGTGCGGACACTAGTGGACACCCCGTGTCTCGCAACATGAACATTGGTGTTCGTGCAGTACGCGGACTGCGCGGACACCCTGTGTCCTCGTTGCATGCAGCGCGGAGATACAACTTCGCGCGGCGCATCACAAGGTGGATTCCAGCTATACACAAGGTAAAATATCTACTCTTTCAATCTACTTTTCCATTCACTTTTACCTATCTTCTATTCCAAGAAAGAAACCCTTCTCTTTCCCTTTTCCTTTCCCTTTTTCTTTCCATTAAAGAGCATCTCCTTGTTCCTAGACACAATATGAGAATCTGAATAAACTCCGAGGCACGTAAATAGCTATATTTTAAGAGATGTTTATCCCCTATCCAAAGATGTCACAATGGGGTTTAAATGAAAATCTCTCTCAGGATACAATGGAGGTGTTTGATTCAAACTGTGACGATTTGATCAAATTAAGAGAACACTATATAAGAGAACTGATGATGCCAAGGGAATGAATGGGTATGTCTATTGGAGAAAAACTATAACTTCCAACAGACACAACTCTTCATAACATTTGCATAACAACAACAACAATAAACAAATAAATAAATTATGAAAAAATACCAAACATGTTTTTCTTTGAGCTTCAGCGGTGGGTTGGAGTTGGGGTTGGGATGGAGGTGCAATCGACGGGTCAAAGACTCAAAGGTGGTGGAGAAGCAGTTGGAAGGAGTCAATGTGGTGGTTAACCCCGAGAAGCCGATAGGTTACTTCCAAATTATTTGCACAAAATCATCATGATGTTCTTCTATATTTTGTTACATTTTCATCGGATTTATTATTAAATGGGATTTCTTTGCCTATTGTCATTTCGAAGTTTTTTTCATGTTTCCAAAAGCACGAGAGAATCGGTGCTGAAATAGACGACCGGCGACCTCAGGAATGTCAAATTTCATAGTGGTTTCTTTTTTGGCTTATCTGTTTCTTCAGTTTAAGTTTGTTTCTTTTTTAGAAAGGTCTTCTCTCTCATTAACTCTTCACACCAAACACGCTAACATTACTTTCAAAACAACACAACCTGTGCATCGCACGGGCAATAAACTAGTACCAGGAAAATTGCGGAAATTTTGAGATCAATGGAAGAACGGAAGTTCGGTTTTGTATATTAATTTTTTTTTCTAATAATGTTTATAATGAAGTTATTATACAACATTTTTAAGTTTGAAAATTCGTAAAAAATAATTGTAGCACATCAAAAAATCCTAGGAAATAATTGTAATGTGTCGAAAATACAATATATTTTACTGGTGTTTACTCATTTTCATCAAGCTTGTAACGCGTCCTACCTAAATTATGAAATCACCTCCTCACACAATGGCTAATTCAAATCATCTCTTAAATAAGCTTTGTCTCTTGCTTAGGTGGTCAGTTTTTGAGCACTCTCAGTCTCATGCAATGGAAGTTTGTAATTTATTAGGGTTTCAAC